TAAACTAAAGATTGACAGGTATGTTTCTAAATAAATCTTGTGCAGACCTGTCAATCTTTAGTTTACTGAACTATTAAATTTTAATCAAAAAGTTTATTTTTTACTTTTTAGTTCAAAAAAGATTATAGTTTTTAGCAAATTTTTTTGCTATATTTTTTATTTTTTTAATCTAATGTCGTGTTATGACTTGAAGCAAGAAAAGAAACTTAAACTAACATATGTTTTTAAAATAAAGTGGTTCTACTTAATTACCGAGTTTTAATAAACCTTTTGCTGAATACTAATGGTTAAAACTTAGCCGCATATCGGTAGAGTAATTCTTTTTTTAATGTTTTAATAAAAATTAGTTCAGTGAATTTTGTTTTTTTAGTGTTCGAAAGATTTTGAACATTTAAAGTTTTCACGGTAAGGAAGGAGGCGTGAACTTCCTGGTTAAATCCACATTTTCCAGACATCAATACTATTTAAGAACACTATCTCTTATTTAAACATCTTTTTTAAATATCTTTATTAAATATTATATAAAAATATCTTCATCAATAGATTAGATGATAAAGATTAGATATAAGATTAGATAATAATCTATATAGCGAGGTTAGAATATATTATTATTTATTATTTTCTATTAAACACCCAGTAATAATATTACAGGTAAATTAATTTATATTGAAATAGTTACAAATTAAATTCTTGGCTCTCCAAATATTTGTCTTTAATGCCAATAACTAGACCGAATAGACGGTTAGATCTATTTTAGGAATATTCTCCTCCATCATTGTTTTAAATTTTTCTCGTTTTTCTTTTAAGTTCCATAATTGGAACGCTTCTTTTAATATTGATATAGTATCAGCTTGCAGTTCTTCTTGAGGTAGTGTGAATTTAATTTTTTTACCTTCTATCATGCATTGAAAGATGTTCAAGCCACGAGTTTTACATATAGTAATCACTTCCTTTATAAATGATTTTTTATTTTGTGTTGCCAGTAATTGACTAATTATCGCGAATAGCAAGTTTGATTTTTCATTAGCCTAATTAATTGGTTTACTTTATTTCGAAGAAGAGTAGTCGAAATATCTTCTTTTTTAAAAAAAGAATGTAGGTAGTTTTTGCTATACTTTGAAATACAAAAAAATGATTTTAAAACTGCTTTTCCAACAACGTCTATGTTTCTTAGAAAACTTACGTCATTGTTGCATAGCTCAAGGCCATATATAAGCTTTGGCACTGTCAGGGTATTGTATAAATGGACTACTGTTGACGGCTGACAAAAACGAATTCCACTGTCAATTAGAGCTATTGCAACCGATTGAAACTGCGTTATACGTTCATTTAGATTTGTTTTTTGAAGTGTTGCAATTTTGTTTTTGTTGGTATCGTTATCCCATTGGAAACCCAGATGTTTTAATTTATTTTAGAGATGTATATTAGTTCCGTTAATTTGAATAATGTTGTTGGAAATTAAACTTTTACCAGAGATCAGAAATTCCATTTTCTCAGTGTTTAGCTTGATAAAGTTTAATATTCCATATGTTTAAAATCTGTCAATTAGTTCTTGCAGACCAGAGATTGTTGGACTTTAAAATTACATCATCTGCGTATGCAATGACACCAGTATAGATGCCATTTATCGTCGACCCTACTTTACATTCTGAGACTATTTCATTTAAGATATTTTCGGTATAGACGCAATATAAATATGGCAATAAAATAGACCCTTGTTGCACCCCTTGTGACAAACTGAGTTGATCTGAGGTAACTCCCTTATAAGATATATTTGCAGTACCAGAACGATATAGCGATGTGATTGTGTGTACAACAGATAAAGGAAGTTTTTTTTGGAAATAGAGCTTCTCAAATAGCAAATCCCAGTTGCAAGTATCAAACTCTTTATTTGCATCTAGACTACACGTATATAAAGGCGTGTCATTGTTATTATAGTATTTAATGGTTTCGCTCAAAAAAAGATTCTGCGTGGAATGTAGAGCTATTTTTTTAAAACCAAACTGATGGGAATCTTTAATACTAGGACATAAAAGTAAAATTAGATATTCTAAAAGTTTGGCAAGGATAGGTAAAATACTAATTCCACGGTAATTATTTGGATTATTAAGAAATTTTTTATATGACTTAACAAGTGGAATAATTATTGAAGTTGATAAATTTTTTGGTACCTTTCCATTCGTTAGAATGCTGTTATAAAATTTAGAGAGCCACAAAAAAAGATTGTTATTATGACAACTTTTAAAGTGTTAAGCAGTTATCCCAAAGCTATCTGGAGACTTATTATTATTTAATTGTGATATGCAGTTTATAATATCAGCTGATGTAATTATTAGTGAATTAGGCTCATTACTTAGAGGCGGAATTTTAAGAGGATTATGGTTTTTATTTGTAATGAGCGGCGTATTGAATAGAGTTCGAAAATGTTGTTTGAACTCTTTAACGATATCTTTTATGTTTTGCGAACTATTAATCGTAAATAACCGAGTTTTTGCTTTGGTCTTGATTCTATGAATATTGTCCCCAAACTTTTGAGGATTTTTAGCTCGTAGATTTTCAATATTTAGCGTTTTTTCATGGATTTATTTGTTATGGGCTGCTTTAACCGCTTTTCGAAAGTTTTTACGTGCAAGGATGTATCTTTTGTATGCTATGCATTCGTGTGATTTGTTATAGTTAGATTTTTGTCATTGTTTAAAGTTAAATGAAAGATGTTCTTTGCTTTTTTTAAGTTCTGCTGTAACTGCCACCACGGTTTTAAATATATAAACAGGTTTTTCGTTGTTCAAAGCACTGCGCAACTGCTAATAAAGCAGCATTTTTGATCATTTTGCATGTTTGCATCAATTCTCGTTCCATTTTTTCCTCGTTGATGGTGTAGTTATTAAAAGCTATACAAAGATTATGATTATATATGTCGATGAAGTTTTTGTTACCCCATGCATAATTTGGAATATGGTTATATTTTAAAATTACACTATTTATTACGTTTGACAGATTTATGTGTGTAACAACAATATTTGTAGCTATTGGTAAGTGATTACTAAAATTAAAAGGCGAAGGAGGAATAACTTTGGTACTTAAAAATTATAAGGATGACGCTTTTAGAGCTGCGATGTGATCTATATACAATGAGTTAAAGAGAGTTTTATGCTGATAGGTTGGACCAGCGCCACTGATTATATCAATAAAGGAGAGCCTATTTGATTTAATGAAACTAGTTAGATGCTTGGAGAACTTATGGGGTGTTTTATTATTAAGATTCTCAGAATCGTATATTATTTCCCGCAATAATGCATTCATTTACGTCTTCGTAGTTTTTTATGACTGATGTAATTAGGTTTAACTGTTGGGTGTATTTTGAAAGGGATTCTTCGTTATTTCGGCATGATGTAAGTAAATAGAAATAAAAACTAGATTTTGACACTTATTTTTACCTTTAATAGCAAGAATATTATCATCTTCATAAATTATGCGAGGAGAAGACAGAACATCTTTTTTAACAATGAATGCGTTTCCTCCAAAAGGTCTTCCATATGCTTTTTTTCTCTGCCGCATGAAAAAATAGATTATGTGTCGGCAATGCTATGTTTTTTAGAAAAAATAGTTTAATTTTCTAAATCCAATTCTCCGATAGAATTCTCAGATAGAACGATTAAATGATTTGACTAGTTCAGTAATATACAACGAGTTTGATTTAAAACTTTGGCAGTTGAATGCACAAAAAAGAAATATTTTCGAAGGTTTTACTTACTTTGTTTCCTTCCATTTTGAATTAAAATTTGGTATTCGAGTTGAGTAAGGATGTTGCCTGGCAAATGGGTTGTTCTTTAGATGTAGAAAATATTGTTTGTGGTGGTTGTACACATAGAAGTTTATTAGCTGTACTCTGATGTAGTGTTTATATAGCAAACAAAAAGTCTGTTATAATAAATATTACCAGTTATACCAGCTTAGTCGTAATTATTAAGAACATTTTCTTAAGCTTGTTTGAATATAACAATAAAACACAAAGAATTTCTTTATTTTAGTTGCGATTTCTTTTTGTGGTATATGGGTTTATGGGCGTGTAGTTTATATGAATGTGTTATTTTTTTAAAGATTTTAATGTCTGAACGTGTTTAAATGATAAATAAATGTTTTGATGAGAGCCAGCATTTTTACAATCAACGAATAACTGTCCCATTTTGCTCCACCCACGTGCAAAATATGAAAACCTTGCTACAAGGGAGTTTCGTTATTTTGGTCGTAACTTTTTTTAGAAATTGATTATTTTGTTTTTTTTGTTTCTATATATGCCCTGCCCTTTGTTCGCGAATCCATTGGATACTTAACAACAACGATTTTTAAACATTTATATCCTGAATATTTCTTTATCATGAAGTATAATAAAAAAGATAATAATTTTAACAAACATTAAATTACCAATACATTTTTAAATTTCTATAAGCTATTGTATACTCTTTAGTTCAAACAAAAAAAATAACGGTTATAAACTGCATCGAAAAAGAAAAATAGTTATAAACTGATAAAATAAAAACAATTAAAACTGTATCAATTTTTAATTATGATTAAATTTTAGTCAAATATTATCAAATAATATATATCAATTTCTACAAAGCAAAAAGTTTCTTCATTTGAACTTTAATCAAGTTTTTAGTTTTTATTTTTAATTTTTTGTTATTTGTAATTGTGTTAATTTTTTGATTTTAAGTTTATGACTAATTTTATAAATTTATGAATAATAAAATATTTTTTACTTGAATAATTTAAATAGCTCTTGAATTAAAGTTTAAATTAAGATTGTAAATTATTGGTGTTATTACTCTTAATATATGTGATTAAAGTTACCAGCCAGCATGTGGTCCTAAAAAGACGTGTTTTGAACGTTTAAAAGAAGTTTAGAATCGGCATTTGGTCCTAAAAAGACGTCTTTAAAATGTTCATAAGACGTCTTTTTAGAACCAATTGCCGGCTGGCTTACTTATTAAATTACTAAATGAAATCAGATTAAATTTTTTTCTGCCATAAAAAGTGAAACAATGGCCGTAAAATACAATGTAACAAATTCCCAAGTATTAAATACCACTTTTGAATTACTCGTTTGGCTTGGACTGCTTGCACAAATGCTTTCGTAATTACATTTTATTGCGGTGCTTTCGTAGCATTCAAGAAATTTAGAAAAACTACAATCTTCCTTTGAATCACAGCATGGAATCTTTACGAGGTGCTCGTTCACCGAAAGTTGAATTTTATGATTACCATCATCGCATTTATAAAGGACAAAATAGATGTTCGCTGAAAAGGGCGCCAAACAAGATGGACGAAATATTCTTTCCTTCATTTCTTTAAAATTACTAGCAGTCAAATTACCTTCATTTAAGTACACTCTAAGTAGTGCAAGAAATGGAACAATAGTTTCTGAATGACCAGATCGAAATATACCGTTAAAACTTTCAGTACTATCTACTTTCGTTGCATTTTTTAATGTTTTCACAATATCCGCAAGTAAAGGACAACTAGATTTATAAGTTATTGGAAATACATTAGAAGATAAGTAAAAATCTTCCAAATCAAAATAATACTCTATGACTTGCAGATCGTCATTATCAAACATTGAACAAAAACCAGTATCCATGGTGCCATTAAACATTCCGATTTCATACGAGCAATAAATATACATAATTTTTAAATGCTTTACTTCGAGAGAAAATGATAAACCAAGTTTGCGTTTTACTTTATCCAGAACGTTATTCATTTCAGTTCCTTTACCAAACTTTTTCATCTCTTCCTTAGTTTTTTCATTTTTTTCAACATTATCAGTATAACTTTTACACATCTTATAAAACTCTAACTCCTTGCTGCTGTCACATGGATACGTTTGAATGGCAATAGGCTGGATGTGACACGCTCCTAGCGTTCCTGTGTTTTCAAACAAACCTGCTGCCAAAGAGTTTGAACTATGAACGGTACGTAATTTACAAGTGCTTTCAAATTTGTATAACAGCGGAGAATAGCGTTTTTGAAACAAATCTGAAAATCTTGTGCGAATTCTCTTTCCAATTTCGTACAACTCCTTTTCTCCTATTTCGTTAAGCAAACTATCTTCTTCTTTTTTAAACAGATTTTTTGTTGGTATTGTGATATTCAAAAATGTTTTGTTTTGGATCAAATTGAGTAATTTATCCATTTCACTTACATCTTTATCGCTAGGGTAACGATTACCATGTCGATGGACCATATTTATTTGGATAGGTTTGCAGTTTTTAGGTGCATTGTTATCTGTAACTTTGTTCCCAATAAAAGTATATGGTGTTTTTGTTGAAAATAGAGGTTGTTTGGGACAGTTTGTTGCGAATACATAAGCAGTAAATACTATAAGCAGTAAGTAATTCATTTGCTTTCTGATCATTTTTTCTGTTAAACGTAACTAAAAATAAAAAAAAGTGAAAAAAGAGTTAAGTTAAATGAAAAAAAACACAACTTAATTTTTTTCACTGCTTTTCCACGATTTTCTAAGGAAAGTATTTTATATATATATATAAAACAAATTTTTAACAGAAACAAGTATATAATTTTAATTTTTGATATCTGCTAACGCAAATATAAACGCTATAGTGTTATAAATTGTAAATTATTGGAACAAAGAATTGTTTACATAACAACAACTTAGAAAAAGGAATTTTATAAACGTAGTTTACAAGTATGGATAACTAAGTTTACAAGTATGGATAACTAAGCAATTTACAAGTTTGGATAACTAAGCAAATAAAAATTGAGTTTTAATCGCTATTAAACTTATTGTATTTACAATAATATTAAAAAATATCTTTAAACTTTAAAAAATGCTTCTTTACGAACAGCCTTGTTGGATAAACATCGTATTGATTCAAAAATCTAGTTTAGTATAATTTTTATTATATTTATCATTTTGGTTTTTATACTAGTTTCATTAAAGTTGTTTACATTTTTTCTATTTGTTTTAATTTCTTACAAACCAATATTTTCCTTTAATAATACAATTAACGTAATATTTCTTTGTAAATACAATAAAATTCATTTACAAATTAAGATTTTTTTTTTATAAACTCAATTAGATTAATGTTTCTTTATAAATACAGTTTCTTTATACTGAAAATCCTGATGATGACGTTGGTTTAAACATTACAAAAATTTCAGCAAACAGCATTCACAGTTAAACTAAATCTTTATTTGCGTAACACTCCTTACAGACGTTTGTTTTTAAAAGTTACGTTGTAAATGTCTTTTAAACATTTTTTAAACGTCTTTTAAACGTTCTTTATGTAAGTATATTTAGAAGACGGTTAAAAGACATTTAGAATACATTTAGAACGTAACTTTTAAAAACAAAAAAAATAACTTTTAAAGCATTACAATGACTAAACTAAATGATTATATGTAGTTTGGAAAGAATTGTTAATTAAATCACATCAAACTCTAAAAGCAGATAATAAAAATATACATTACTGGCAAGGGCCTCCACAAACAAGGGTACCTTACAAAAAAGATTTTTAAAAACATTTTAAATTCATAATATTAAACACTAGTTAACAACATTTTCTTTGATACATTTTTTCGCGTTTTACTTTTATCTACAGCACTATGTTCAAAAATAATTTTATTAAATATTAACGAACACGATTGATCTATATTTGGTTACTCCAATAAGACAATCAGTAAAATATCAAAATCTTTAATGGCTCTGAAAAGCACATGCTGTATTAGCACTCAGACGGGCGTACGGCAGCCCTCTGTCACGAATATCTTGGATTTTCCGGTACGTAAAGGGGTGGGCATATAACGCATGTCCTTAAGCGAAGGACAGACGTCTGGTTGAGTGATGTGCTTGTAGCAGGGAATTCCGGTGATTTATACATTCTTTTTTTTTTGGTACAACACCAAAAAAATAAGAGTGTCAAATAAGGTTGCTAGTTTTAACATGTTTGAGTTATAAAACTTGAACTATTTAGCCAGGTTCGAACATGTTTTTCTTACCTTTCTTTAAAAATATTTTCAAGGGTAGAACCAAAGTTCTAACCTTGAAAATATTTTTAAAACAATGTATTATTTGTTTTTGTCTATTTGGGTTTTTTTTGGCTGGAAACTCATTGCATTTAGATGTTATGGTCATTGCCATTTAAGATAGCAATATTGTTGTTTCGTTCCCAAGTTCAAAAAAAAACAACGATATACTACATTAAAAATATCTGATACATAATCTAGAGTCCCTAATAAAATAAAAAGTGAGGGGTCTGAATACTTATTAAGACCCCCTCCCCGTTAATTAATTTTTACTTGTTATCAAAAAAACAACAACAACAACAACAAAAAACACTGAAAATCGGCCTTAAAATTAAAAAAATAATTATTTCAGTCACTGCTAAACAAAATCTTTCAATGCAAACAGGCTTTAAAAATCACCTACCAAGTAAATGTCGATTTATTGAAAATGAGCTTATTTTATTTCTCACCAAAGTATAAAACTTATATCAACGATTCAAGATTCTCACACTTAATTTGTGTATATATTATGCTTTATTTTAATCTTTCTAAGAAAGATTAATACATAAATAAAAAAATAAACTAATAAAAAAATTAATAAATAATAAATTGATAAAAAAATAAAGTATAATACTCAAGAATATCAAAGATAAATTTTTTCATCAAATAACTGTACAGGTTTTTAAAATGATGCGAAATTTTTCTCAAGCTTAAAAATACTCTCAGGACTTTAACAGATATCAAAGTTCTGTAAAGTTATTTGATTTAAAAAAGCTTTATCCTCAATATCCATATCTAAAAATTATCTTAAAAATACCTTAGGCTTGAGTCGATTTGGTTTGTTTACCTCCGCCTAACTTGCTTAAGTCAAATAACATGCGCGCGCAACGTTAAATTGTAATCAGAGAACCGTGTATTCTGGCCTTGTATTTGGTTACATTTATTACATATGTGTATATATATACATATATCTATATGTATATCTATATCTTTATATATATATATATATATATATATATATATATATATATATATATATATATATATATATATATATATATATATATATATATATATATATGTATATATATATATGTATATATATACACACATATACACACATATATAAATATATTTGTATTTATATAATATAATAATGTCTATATACATATGTATAAAAATATTTATATACTATAAATATGTGTGTGTATATATGTATATATTAGGGTGGTCCAATAATTTTTTTTTTCAAAAAAAGCACAACGGAACCTTTTATTATTTTCCGTATACTAAAACAACAATTTGGTAAATATTTGTTGTGATTTGAAGCATTTTTGCACAAGCTCCTTAAACATCAGACAAGTCCCGAATATTATTAAAAAAAAAGTTCTTAAAAAGTATATGTTGGGTCTCAAAAGTACAAAAATTTTATAATAATTTCTAAAATAATCATAATTTTTTAAAAAAATTTGAGAAAAAAAGACTTGATAAATTTTTATAAAAATGGATGTTTTAATTTTAGTTAAGAATATAATTTTTTAGGCAGTGAAATTTAAAATAATATTTTTTATAAATTAACTTTATTATTTTGAACAACTGGAAAAAATATATGTATATGTTTTTTTTATGTACTTATAAACCTGAATATTTTGTATAGAAATAACCTTTTTTTTCCTTTTTGAAGTTTTCCTTAGAATAGAAAACAAATACAATAGCAAATTATCAAAGTTTAACAAAAAAATAAAGATTAGAGTAAAATGTGGAAAACATTGTTTATGGAATGATCAGTATAATTAGCATAATCAGCATAATATCGTAATTGAAGCTGTAAAAGCTGTAAAATATGATAAAACTTTTTCTTTGAAATATATAAATTTATTTAAAAGCACCTGCAAAAATTAACAAAACACCTTCTGAAAATGGTGTGGAATGTGCCAAAAGCATAAACCCTTAACTTCGCTATATTACATAAGTTTATGAATGCTTGTAGAGTTTCATAATGATTTTTGTTCTTAAAAATGTTTTAACGAATAACAATTTAATAAAAAAAACTGCACAACAGCCTTGTGATAGAACAGTGTTAAGAAAGCGTACATTTATTCTAGAAATTAAACCAATCGCCTAAAAAAAAGTCGTTTTAAAAAAATTGTTACGAGCGAAAAAACAAAAAGTGTGTCATGGTGCCCCTCTAAATATTAACCCTCTAAACTCTCTTCTAAACATTAATTTAAAGATTAAAAAGTAGAGAAAAAAAAAAATACATAAAAAAAGTTCAAAGCTTATTGGAAAAAAAATAAATATTGTCATTTAAACTATAACTTGTTTTTATTTTGTTTTTTTGTATTTAACTTTTTAAACTATATCGAAGTTATAATTTCTTAGTTATCCATCCAACTGGCGTGACGTCACTCCTTATTATAAGTATTGTTTTAAAATTAACCATCTTGAATTGAAACAAACTAAAATACACTTGCGGTTTGTGTTTTAAAAAATTCATTAGAAGTTATTGTGCAGTAAGTTGCACTTACAAAATATAATTGAAAATCAAAACTTAAATACTTCTAAAGATGAAGGTACTTAAGGTGGTCAACCCCAATTCAAAACGTATAAATTTTTTTTTGAGATTTTATAAAAAGTGATTTTCTTTTATTTCAATCATTGTAGAACATAATAAGAGTACTTACATTTGTCGAATTTGTAGGGTAAGGCGGGGGGCGAGTTCGTCATGTTTTACTTTAACAAAATGAATTCGCATATAAATAAGTGAACTTTTCTAGTTTAAAAACTTTTTTTTATTAATTAGGGTCTCTATTTTGTTAATGTATTAAATCAAAATGAATTCTAAAGTTACTTTAGCGTATAATTTGATTTTTTCATCATCAAGTCATGAGGGGCGAATTCGTCAATTACGGGGCGAATTCGTCAGTACAGCTAAACTAATTTAAAAATTCGTGACTCGGGCGATAGACGAAATTCCTTTCTAGTGGTAAAGGCAACTTACCTAGGAAAAAAAAACTTTGACATAAAACATTTTTGAGGTCACAGTAGGATGATTTCCCTAATCTAGAAGTAAACCTAGAAGTTGCGAGTTCGATTCCCACCGCGTCCCTGGTAGTACTGCGCTCAACTTGTTTTTCTCTCAACTCTATAACTCCGAAACACGAACCTTGATCGTCAAGGTTCGTGTTTCGGAGTTATAGAGTTGAGAGAGGGTTGTAAACACAACTAAAGTAGCCTCCTCGACTGCAGTGGCCTAGGGTAAAAGGACATCAAAAAGGACATCAAAAAGGACATCTAAAAGGACATCAATTTTTAAACTTTTTCCAAGAAAATATCAAATAATGATTTTGGCATAAATGAAAACCGTATAACCGCGCTAGCGCAAAAAATAGCACGTTAAAGCAACAA